CACAAAACCAAGAACGAAAACGAAAATGAAACAAAAGGCTCAAGATCTAGAGATGTGGCTCAATAAGAAGGGAAAAAGGCTCAAAGGGTTAGCAAGTAGGCAAATGTAAACCCAAAAACCGAATAAAATGAAAACTATCCTAGAAAAGAAAAATTACCTCCCCGAAAAGATGCCTTTGTCCTCCCTAGGTGGTTCGTTCTTGGTCTTGGGAACCATAAGTCTAGATTCTAGATTAGGTCCGCAATAGTCAAGGATCCATGCCGCTCATGCAAGTAAATGTTGAAGGCTTGAAAAATAATGAACCTCACACGGATGTAGCCATAAACTCAATATGGGTGTCAAATCGACTATAGGGAGCAACCACCAATGATGCCACAAACAAGTAGAATCCAACTTCATGATCCCCCTAGTTCTAGACAACTACCTTAGCATGCTTTATCCTAGAATCAACCAAACGTAATCTCAGACCGTGCATACCACTACTATTTAGGAAGAAAAGCATTCAAGTATACAAGTCCAATTGTTATTATGTCCAAAGCAAGAACAAAACAAAACACATTGAAAATTTGCCTTGATAAAAAAAAAAATCTTTTTAGAGTTTTTCAAAATATGAGAACATGGAAAAGCATGTACAAAGGTGCATGACATATATGAATCAACATTCCACCAAACATAATAGAATACCCTACCCCAAGCTTGAATGAGACAACATGCTCAAACATAAATCAAATATTCCACGGGAGGGGAAAAACAAGGAGATTAATCCAATCAAACCAACATATGTCCAACAAGTCATCATCCACTAGAGAAAGAGTAAGGGAGGATATTACCGGAAATTAGGTGGGTGTAAATACCCTCAGATGACCCAATTTTAACCTTTCAAAGCTAACAACCTCTAATATTGAATCTTGCCTTCTATATGCTAGCAAATGTGGTGCCAATCTTCCTTGATTCTTGTTCCAAATATAAGTACCAAAGTATATCAAGTCATGTACCTAGCATAAGGAACACAAACATTTCCATGAGAGAAAATTGATTCTAAAAAGAAAAGAAAATGAAAGCAATAAAACATGGGTTACTTCCCGAGAAAGGCTTGCTTAAGGTTCAAGCTTGACCGCTCTAGAAAATAATAATTCAACTCGCGCAAGAGCTTGTCAAATGCACTACTACACATTTCATAGGAAAGTAAGTATGCACATGAAAAAATAAAGGCATGCAACAAGATTAGTGAACACCTATGAACTTGAGAAGAAGTATTCCAAGAAGAAGAAAGAGAGAAGGGAAAAACAAGAATATAAGAAAAAGGAAGAGAAATAAAAGAAAAAGAAGAAGGCATACTCTTCTCAACAAAATATTTTTGGTTGGAAATCCCACCATCGTCCTCAAAAGTCATCAAATGAGGCACTTGGGGGACTAAAGGCTTTTCAAGAGGAGGGGATATGAGAAAAGAAGGTAATGACATGGGATAGGAGGGAATAAGATCAAGCTTTCTTGAAAATAAGGTGCAAGGTAAAGAAATAGGAATTGGTTGTTCACTTACACCACTATCTATTGAAATACAAACTCTCTCATCCAATGAACTCATATCCAAAGGGCTCTTCTCCAACTCGTCATTATTCAAATTTAGCTTATTCTCAATCATACCCTCCTCAAAAACTTCACACCCTAAATGAGCTCTTAAAAGCTTAAAATCATCATCAAGGTTCAAAGGAAGCTCATCAAAGGGTTGAGGGTCAAACTTGGGAGGTAGCTCAAAATAAACACGAGAAGTACAATCTCCCTCTAAAAAGACCTCACCATTCTCAATGGTGGAAAATGTAGAAGAGAAAGGATCATCAAAGGTGAAAGAAGAAATCAATGGTTTAAGATTTGTGATAGGAGTTGGAGACTCAACCTCACCAAACACTTCACTCTCATCTTCATAATCATCAAAAGTAGGCTCTACCTCCTCAACCTTATCATAAGGGACCTTTTCTTCATCAAAATCGTCTAAGCTCAAGGCCTCACCCTCAAAGCAACTATGGTTATAAATCAAAGGAGATGGGGTGGAAGAAGGTTGGTTTTTAAAATTAAGGAATGGAGGAATGAAATCACAATCAAGGGAGGTGGGTTGGAGAATTGACTCACCAATTGGTTTTTCAACACTCAAAACCTCTTGGTCCTCATCACCCTCAAACATCCAATCTCCCATGGAGACTACTTCATCCTCCTCGTCCTTACTCTCTTTCCTCACAACTTCTTCACGCTTCAAAAATTGCAATGTCCCATCCTTCATAACTTGAATTACCATTTCCTAAAAATTAAGAGAAGCCAACATTTTTAGTTTCTCTTCAACTCCATCTAAAGGCTCAATGGAACGAAATTCAAATTTTGAAGGAGGTTCAAAATGCAAACACTCTTTAGGAACATCCATCTCTACACCCTTTTCCTCACTCATGGGCTCTCTAACATCCTCCTCACATACTTGGGAGCTCTCAAAACAATCATCATCATCGTCTTCCATACCTACCAATGTGGTAAACAATCAATATTGATGACAATTTACTCTCTATCTCCTCATTCTTCCTAAAAACACCCTCATTACTCTCTTCCAACTTTTTCAACATTTCCATTTTGCTTCTCACAATCTCCAAATATATCATCTCATTTGGTTCCAAATTAGAATTCATCTCCAATTTTCTCAAAGAACCACCAATTTGATTATAAGTAGACTCAAAGGTAGGATTTAAAGATAGGAAAGATGAAGAGCATTGAGGAGCATCATTGGGAAAATAATTATATGCAAGCATGCAAGGATCAACATTAGAGATATGAGTGGCATAATTAAATTGGGGAATCGAGGCACGAGTAGGCATGCAAGGTTCATCATTCATGGAACATGGACCATAACAATCATCAATGGAAGCATTTGAATAACCATGACCACGATCACAACTATCTCTAGCAAACCATACATAAAAGTCCCAAGTATCATCGATTGACAATGCCCGAAATCCAACATTAAACATGCTTTCAACAATGTCTCTAGTTTTCTCATTCAAATTATGATAACAAATCTCGCAAGCCTCCCAAATATGACAACCATGGTAACTAATGGAGTTCTCTAGTCTATTAAAGTACACCCAAAATAGTTCATCATCTAATTGAGGAAATGAGGTATTTTCCATTTTATACAAACAAACAAAACTCAAATAAAAGAAAAGTATACACAAAGACATAGACTCAAGCAATAAAAAACACTCAAACATAGACACTGTTCCCCGGTAACGGCGCTATTTTGATAGAGGGGAAAACTAGGTCGTTATCCAATCTTCCCTCGGTCAAAATAAATTTATAAACACTTAACAAACCTAAATACAAGTATAGAGGCAAGTCAAGGGCCGAACCCAAAGGAACGGTAATGTTCAAGCACTTTCAATTATGCGCCTAAGCTAGGTCGAAGACGAAGGTAAGAGAGAATACTAAAAACTAACAAAATAAATCACCAAGGAAATAAAACACTAGGAACGGGGATCAACGAGTCATCATGTCAATTGCAACAACTTGGGAAGAGCATGCCAATCAAAGGTTGTGAGGACTAATGATAAGAGAAATCAATAGGAATCAAAGAGGTATCTCCTAATTGTTAAGCTAGGGTTCACTATGAATAACAAACTAAGAGAATCACAATCAAAACCAATTGATAATTGCAATTCCTAAATCAATTGTTCATGTCATTAGCAATTACAATGCAATCTAGCATAATTCTAAAGGCCAAATTGAATTACACTCATGCAAACCTTCACTAATCACTTTAATCTCAACAATCAATCAACACAATTCCTAAATTAATCACAATTAATCAATCATACAAGTTTCACCCAATTCCTAGCCAAACAACTATTCAAGAATCATCATCTATCAACTAACAACTATAGAAATCAAGAATTAACAAAATACCAAGAACAATTACACTAATCAAGCATCAAACATCAAAATTAAACCAAACAAACATGAAATTAAACAAAGCAATAAGGTGAGATAGAGTTAAGAATGCTCATTGATAGTAGAGAAGATCTTGAACACAATTGTCACCCTTGTTTCTTCAATCTCTCAATCACCATTGGAATCCTTCACTTTCTCTCTCTAAAACTACTCATAATCTAGCATAATCTAGAGAGAGAAGCTCTCAACCTAAGAGAGATAACTATTCTAAGACTAAGAACTATGTGAATGAATGATAATAAAAACCCCCAGAAACAATATATAAACAAAAGGAGAAAAGAAACTTAAAATCGTAAAAGAACTAGAAGTCCGCGCCCTTGGAGAAATTGGCCGCGCCCACAAACACCTCAGAAGCCGCGCCCGCGGCAAAAGCCCGCGGCTAGCCCGCGGAGAGATACTACCCAAAATCGGCAGAAGTGGGTTACGGTAGATTTGCAAGGCCAACTTTGTAAGGCTGTTACTTACGATCTAGGAATTGTATGAAGGCGTGCAACCTATCATTGGAAAGCTTTCAAGTCTAGTTTCCAACCCAACTTGAATCACCTCAATCCCATCTGTAGAACTCGAGATATGGCCGAAACAATGCACAAAGGTCCTTTTTGATACTTTGTAAGCCTTCATTTTTCTTTGTTTCTTGGATTCGCTTGACATGCGTGCTTGGATTCCCTAACTTGGCTCCGTTAAATTCCTGGAATGCACTTGAGATCCCTCCTTAATGATTAAATCTCGGGAATCTCGACACACCTACAAAACAAGTCAAATAAATGGAGAAGGGAAATAGCCGAGAAATGAATAAAATAATAAGAAAACCACTAAAAGCACGCATTTCTCTAAACTAACACACAAAAACGCAAATCAAGCATTGTTCCCTAAAGACACGACATAAATGACTAAAAACGAGTATATAAATATAAAGAAAACATAGCCTAAAGGTGCCATAAATGGCACGGATCACCTCCTCTACGGTCAGGGCGGCCAGCTCTATCTTCATCCCTCCTTCTGGGAGGGTCATCGCGCTACTTAAACTGATTCAAGTACCCTTTCCTAACCAAGTCTTCTATGTTGTACTTCAGATGCGTGCATTCTTCAGTGGTGTGTCCATGGTCCCTATGGAAGTCACACCACTTGCTGGTATCACGATTTCTGTTAACCATCCTAGGGGGTCTCTGCCACTTGTCATCAGCTTTGTTCACGCTGAATATATGAGACCTGGAATGGGTTAATGGGGTATATTGGTCAAACCTCCCAGACCTTCTTAGTTCTACTAATTTGTCTGCTTCTCTGCGGGTTTGCTCATCCTTGCTCGGTTGGTCCACCTTGGGTGTGTTCTCTGCCCGGGTGACCTCTAGTCGCTTAACTGGGTCACCAGGTGCTTTCCTGCCCAGCATTTCTCTATCAGTCTCGTCTACTGTGATGAACTCGTGCGCTTCAGCAAGTTTTTTGAGGCTCTTTCGCCCCATATACGCTCTGAACGGTGATCTTGGTAATAAGCCACTCTTCATTGCTAGTAGTGCTACCTCCTGGCTCATATTTGGGATGGTTTCTGCCTCCTTGTTGAATTTGGTGATGAACTCCCTCAAGGGCTCGTCTTTCCCTTGAACCAACGACATCAGCTCGGTTGTCATCTTGGTTCGGTCTACCAGGGTTATGAAATGCTCCATGAACATTCTCTTCAACTGGCTGTACGAGTATACGGAACATTTGGGAATGGCCCCATACCACTCCGCTGCCAGACCCTCCAGGGTCGGCGGGAAAGCTTTACACCATACTGAGTCTGTCATAGTGTAAAGTACCATATGGTTATTAAAAGCTGACATGTGGCTTTCGGGTGTTGTGGTTCCGTTGTATCTACAGCTTCGCATCTTTACTTTCTCCATTGGTTCCTCTAGAATCTCCCGGCAAAATGGGGAATCATTTGGAACAACCTGGATTCGCACTCGTTTGTCTTTCTCCAGGCTAGGTCCTCGCTCTGAGGTCGGTGACCTGCTGCGTGGGACTCGCTTCTCCGGGATGATTCGAACAGGGGTTATTTCCTCCACACTCCATTCTCGATTCAGGTTACGAACTTCCAGCTCCAATACCTTCTTCCTCAGCTGAATAAGCTCTTTCTGCTCAGGGGTGAGGGTCGAAGATGCCGTCTTTTTTGCTATGGGCTCCGCAGCTGCCGCTGTCGGTGACGAACTTGCCCCCTTACCCATATTGGTTAGGACCGCAGTCATTGCAGCCAGCTGGTCCTTACTACACTTCGAGAGGTTCTGCAGAATGGCTAGCATATTTACGAGCTGCTATTTCTTGGCTACAGGTGCTGAAACAATGAGTTCATTGTTCGCGCCTGTCAATGGCACTCCGTATTTGAAAATGGAGCTAGATCCCGCCGGGTCTACTAGTTTCGACGCCGCTTTAGCAGTAGTTGATGTCGATCCGATGGGGTTGGATTTCTGCGAGATGGTCGATTTGGGGTTTTCGGTGGATCCTTTTGGATCGATGGTTACTTGGGGTGTTTTTTCAGATGTTTGGCTGGTCTCATTAGTTTTGGACATGGGTGCCTGTACAGTTTCTTCTCCGGGCATAGTGGTTAGTTAACTAGTCCCTAGCTCAATTGGTGAACCTCAGGCTAGATGATCCTACCCCTCCTACTAGCGCCAATTGTTCCAGGTGTGGATCCAAAGGTTCTACTGGGTAAACTGGGTCCCGAAAACTACCTACAAAAGGGAGCACACGTAAACTGCCCTCGGGGGTGGCTCGAGGAACCCCCCTCCGAAGCTTAAGTTAGAGAGTGTTTAAAAAGAGAAAGTGTACTTAGAGGGATATAGAAAGTATAATGACTTGATTGTCTCACCCCCTTTCCGTTGTACTTTACCCTCTATTTAGAGGTGTACCATCTCCTTTGTGGAGAGTTAAGCCTGGTCAGCCTTGCGGGCTGACTCTGCCGGGCTAGTGAGCCCTGCTTTAATTGCTTGCTCGGCAATGAGTGCGCACCCTAGGGGTTGGGCGATAGTTCAGCGGGAGCTATCCTATACAGGAAGCATTGCAGGAATCATAATAAGCATATTAAATATTATAACCTTTATCCTAAGCATGATACTAGGAATCATTGTTGTCATTCAAAACATCAAATTAAGGGAAATATCCCAACATGACACTAGGAATAAAAATAACAACCTAAACATGATTTCTATTTTATAATATCAATGCAAACAATTAAAGCACTTACTTGAATGCCTCGTATCTCTTTCCAATAACAAAATACACATGTTAGTAACTTCAAGGAATATAATAAAATTAAAGAAATAAATTAAATAATTGAAATAGAGATTTGGTACCAAACCCTCAGAATTTAAAACCTTTTATGTTTAGGGCGAAGGCAACTTCGAACAATGCTAGGCGTGTCTAGATTTTGTGAATGCGGAATTTTGTATCTGAGAAAAGAGAGAGAGAATATCAAAAATTGCTTAATGAGAGTTGGTGATAATTGACGTGAAGAATTGATGATTGAAAACGGAGGTTTTAGGAGGCTATTTATAGAGAAAATCATCCAGATATGATAAAAAACAAATTAGAGTTTCGAAAAGAATAAAACACGACGCTGTCGCCAAACACGCGCCTGTCACCAGAAGCCGCGCTTGTCACCAGACGCCTAGTCTGTTGCAAGGAAACAGACGTGTCGTACGACACTGCAATCAGTTTTCCACGCGTTTTCTTATTTTGATAAAATTTAAGCATACGAGAGGGTAAAGCTGTAATTTCCTTAAAAACACTTATTTTATTCCAATTCAAACTCCTAACAGTCAATTTATCAATGCTAATCAAATTAGGAATCAAAAGAACCTTTTAGAAGTTTCTAGAAGATTGTAATCAATCCTAATCGCATTAGGAATGATAAATCAATAATATGCCCTCCTCTAGATCATTGGGCCGCATATAAAGATCAAACCGGGGCCAGTTTCGTAATTTGTCCATAATTTCCTCATTATTCATCGGAATTGGGCTTATAATATATTGTTGGAAAGCTCTTTTTGAACCCGACCCAACTACACCATTTTTGGGCCCTTTCTATGGACCAAAATAAACTGGATTGGCTGCTTTCTCAAAATAGTTTTTCAAAAATAAAGAGAAAGAAAAGGAATAAAAACTAACCGCAACACTAGATTTTCCGTACTTTCATTTCATTCGATTATGATTCGACGTGAAAGGTACTCATCACTGAGTTTTGTTTTGGGGAGACACAAATGGGTGTCTACAATGATCCACCCGCAATAGGATCACCGACTAGGTTCAATGTCTTGGGGTTAGAAATACCCGATCAAAAACCCCGAGCAATTGAGTTCAAATGCTTTCACAAAGGTGATACGTATTTCAACTCTTGAGTTCAAAGGTTTTAACTACTAGCGATCCCTTTTCCAACTCTTACTCAAGCATCATTTCTAATGCCCCAACTTGGATATTTATACGAAATGATGAGAGTATGATTATCTCTCCCATCAATGTGGGACAATAAGATTTTCACATTTTATTTTAAAGCTAAAATAAAATTATTTAAGCAAGGTAGTAATAAATCAACAAGTGTCAACTATACATGAGAGAGTAAGTGAGGACCACTTGGAGAGGGGGGGACCAAACTTGATCCCCACTCTCCCCCTCACCTTGCGCCACATGGCAACTCCCACTTGGGCACCAAGGCACCCAAGTTGGCTTATTATTTGCTTTTGCTCCTAGCCTCGGCCCAACCATCCCCACACCACATAGTGCGGGTTGCTGCTGTTCTCGGCCAGCAAGCTGCGCACCCAAAGTGAGGGCTGCTTGCGAGACCTGGTGCTGAGGTCTGCTGCCTTGTGCGTGCACTTGGCTGCTAGCATTGGTTCGCTAGCACGCACTACCTAGCCAAGGCTCGACTTGGTGCTCATGCTAGCTACCATTCTACACATTGTGCCCCTAGCACTCGATTTTCTCGGCGTACTCCAATGCTATGTGTATTTTAGGAAATACGTTCATTTATTACTAATTGCACGCCTCGTCTTTTACTATTTTTGACTCAAATTTCAACGTTCGGTTTCGACGCTCTAAGCTCAAATTTTCGATGTCTAAATATTTATTACTCGGTCAACTCATTAATTCCTTCCGAATTAATTTATTGCTTTGGCTCGTTGGTTGCTTGGGTGTGAGGTGAAGGGTTCAGTTAAGATTAAGCTATAATATTAATTATGCATTACTATTACTGATCAGAAGCGGCCTCAACCCAGGCATTCCGATCACTTCACCTTACTGAATATATTAGCTTTCTAATAATTATGAACCCACATCAGAATGATACACTTGTTCGAAGGACACTATTCCTTTCAACTATCCCCTACAACTAGCCTCTCAAGAGGTGGTTTGAGGTCGCTCATGCCAGCTATTTTAAGCCTGTAGCCTTATCAGCTATTGCTCAACGAGTTGTCTGGCCAAATTCCCCGTACACCGCTAGCTCCACAAGCCTCTAGATCGGCGATGCAATTCCGAGGCTTGGAAGGTCAAGCTATAATTTTGTGATGACGCGATTATGTTGCTGCTATTCAATATTGGATCTCTTCTGCCTTTAATGTGTATTCCTTTTTGTCACATGAGTTGACTACAAAGAGGAATGTTGATCACTCCTGGTGAAATATTAGAAATATCGAATTTGAAGGGAGGAATTTAGATCACTCCCGCTGAAGTTTTAGAAATAACGAGCTCACAGGGAGGAATTTTGAACACTCCCGCTGAAGTGTGAGAAATGATGAGCTTGTAGGGAAGAATTTCGATCACTCCTGTTGAAGTCTAAGAAATGACAAGCTCGCAAGGAGGAATTTCGATCACTCCTACTGAAGTCTGTGAAATGACGAGCTTGCAGGGAGGAATTTCAATTACTCCCGCTAAAGTTTGAGAATGACTAGCTTCCAAGGAGGAATTTCAATCACTCCCCCTGAAGTCTGAGAAATGACGAGCTTACAGGGAGGAATTTCGATCTATTTTTTTTTATAGCGGGAACGATGTCTTGCATGAGTGGGACACGTGTCAACCACTTGAATGGTCAACTTAATTTTACTGAAATGACATGGCATTTTGGCTTTATTTATACTCAACCACCAATCTACTCCGTATTTAATTCATTATCCCCCTTTCTTTTCTTTTTATCTTTTTCATTTTTTCATCTTCCCCTTTCTTTTTTCAAATTTCTTGCTCTTCATCTTCTCCCAGATGCGCGTTGTTCCTCTATTATTATTGTAAGTTTTCATCTTCCTCATCTACGCACTTACTTTGTTTATGATTTTTTGTTTGTTTATTTGCTCGTTTTCATTTATTCCTCGGTTTCACTGAACTTTCCTGCTTTTTGGTTGCAGTTCTAAAACTTGTTCTCCGTTTGGTTTCTTAAGTCGTCATTGTTGTTGTCACAAAGGTAACTAACTTTGTACCTTTTCCTGTATGTTTTTGCTTATTTTTTTTTTTCTTTTTGTGTTTTCCTTCGCAAAATTGCATCTTTTGATCTATTCTGATTGTCTCCGTCCAAATTGCCCCCTTCTTTTGTTATGTTTGTATTCTCAATTTTTCTTCCTATTCTTGCATTGCTTTCCTGCACTTAAGAATAAACTAATTTTTGATTTTTGGCACCCCATCTTCTTTCTCTTCTTTGGTGGGCTTCTTTGTCTTTGTAGATCTTAGAATGTCTAATGCTTCTAATAGTTAGAATATGAGTGAGCCTAACGTGACCACTAAGTCAGACTCTTCTTCTTGTCAATCTTCCCGTTCAGGTGAGCGCTCTACGTAAAATCCTTTTACTTCTTCTGCTTTTTCCCCCCTTCTTAGACAAATGGTTATGCCTTTTAACTGTCCCCCTACTGTAGGTAGGGCGGGTACTTCCACGACTTTTTCTTCCATGCTTAAGACGGGCAGTAGTCGCCCTGTTCAAATTAGTGCGTTCTGACCTTTCCAACCTGGACCACGTCCTGACTTCTTTAACCCTTACTGTAAACGGGAACTGATTCAGAACGGGGTGCCAAGGCCCCACCTAACTCGTTTAAGGAGGCTAAGCCCCTTGAGTTTCCCTTGTTAGCCCTATTCCCCATGTTCAGCCTTTAAACAGTTTTGCTTGGCTTAATGACATTGATGATGTGAATCCGTTTGACAATTATGTAGTGTGTGGTGGGAACTCTTCAACTTCTTCTTCATCCCCCTCTCTGGTTGCTACTTTGAGCAGGATGGCCGAGTCTTCCAGCGAGCGCCCCTTCTATGATTACCAGCCTACTTATGTGATTGA